CTCTTCTGAAAAAAAGTTCTTCTAAAAGAAGCCTGCAATCTAGACGTATCCTCATATAGAAAAGGACTCCCTAGGAATTGTGCTGTTGGAAGGTAACTGTTTTATGCAAAAGACTGATGGAGAAGTAACTGATTTAAACAGGGTATCCTTATTTTAATTTTAATCATATCACATTATGTAAATTGTGAAAATCTTCATCAGCTCTGTCTCTGACATGGGTGTGTAGGCATATCTATGCCTTCTATACATTATTAATAGAAAATTTACCTGGTATTCTCAGATCCTTAACTCAATTTTTGTTTTATTTCATTCAAGAAAATAGGGTAGAGCTGGCTATGAGGGGTTCAGTATGCAGGCTGTCCGAGGGAGAAAGAACTCTCTCAGCCCTCTCTCACTCCAACAGCTTGAGGTCAGGTGAGAAGCACCTCTCCATGGGTGCTGCAACTCCAGTAAGAACAGCTGGAGGAGGGGTGCAAATCTCCCCAGCTGGGGTAGGTCTAGATTCATCTGCCCCCTGTGCTACTCAGCCAGATTGAGGAATAGAGCAAATGATGCACTTTCCCTTCACTCTGTGATGAAGGGGAACAGCCAGAAATGTTCCCATATGAATGGAAGGGGAAGCTTCAGCTCCCTCCTCCCACCACCTAAAGGGCACCTGGATGGTGGGAGACTCAGGGCTGGGGTACTCCTGGATGGAGGGGGGCCACCAACAGCTAGCCCCTTTCACCTTCTGGGTGACTGTCTTTTTTCTGTATGGTTTTATGCATCCCCATACACACCAGGGAAAGGGAACTTCTGACCCCGCTCCAACACAGAACCAAATCCTTACCATGCTTAAGTTATGAGAAGAAGGTGCATACCAAATTTGGTGGTGCTAGCTCTTACCGATTAGGAGTAGTTCTTGAACAAATGGACTCTCGCTCACTCACAGACAAACTCTCTCAAGTATACAATAGATTAATTAATTATTATTATTATTATTTTGCTTATAGACACTTTTTAGAATCCTCAGTCAAGGAGCAGAGCTGAACAGAGTTGATGAAATCTCACCAGTATAAATCTTATTTTTAAGCATTTGTTCATTGTGTGTGATTTCAAAAAGACTTAAAAAACCAGGGATAATGGTCACTATTACAAAATGAATATGTCAACAGGTACTATGCCGTTATTTGTGTAGCAGTGAAATGCTATGCATAATTCACTGTAACAAGACTAGGAAAAGAATGTAGAATACTAGATTACACCACTGTATGGTAAATGTTGGCAAAAGTTGATTTTGTACGTTCACTTCTGTACCTTTGAAGACCAGAAGCTTGCAGATACATGATTTAAAAGTCTATTCTAAAATCCAAGCTTGTATAATCATTGAAACAAAAAGCAGATAATTACCTTACATTTGGGGTCCACATTAAATGCAAAGCTATGAATTTGAAAAGAGTCTTTTTGTTTAGATGGAGCAGGAATAACTTTCTTTGGACTTGTCCAGCCTGAAAGAAAATACATGGTATTGTTCTATTCATTCTACAGCTGTACTTAATTTTTTGACATAAATTAAACAAATGAAATAAGTTTGCACATTATCATAAAGACTGTAATATACTACATCCATATATATTTACCTATTCCTGATTCTTTAGAGAGAGTTACAGGTGTTCAGCAAAATAAATTCAAGTAAAATGCAGCTGAAAGAAACAATAATTAGCATTTCATCAGCTGTGATTTGGCTCTACTTAACGAAATGCCGTGTGTCATCAGTGAAAATAAAGCTATCATATTGAATGTATAAAGGAAAAATATTCAAATTGGTAATTATGGCAAAATTTCACTGAGATGTTATCTACATAGCAAGTTACTGCACAGCAAGCCAGGGTGCGAATCTACAACACACTAGCTTGCTGCAACGCAACATCCCATATGGACATTGCTATAGTACAGTGAATGTCATCCCTATTTGCCTCAGTGTGTTATGAATTTCAAAGGCTAGTTATGACCAAATAAACATGTGGGAACCTTGCTATCAATAATATTATTCCTGTAATGCTGTAATTAATTGGGATGTATGTGTACTACTGTCCTCTACTGAAGAGAACAAGACCAGCTTATATATATGTAGGCACTGTCCACTAGTTATGCTAAAAATTGTTCCTTCAGCTTTCTGGTTAAAGGGTGTTATTTGGAGCCAAAGGCTGAGTGCTTTTCTTCATGCCAGATATAAAAAGTAAATATGACAGCTATGCTGAGTGCAGGTGTTATTCAGAAGCTACGGATAGTATTTATATGCAGATTCAGATAGTCTAATTTTACATGTTCTTTACTAATTGGAGATACATTTTCAGAGATCTCCGCTGACTGTATATTATAATTTGCTACTTTTTTTGCTGATGAGATAATTCATTTTCTAATTGTTCTTTCTCTCTCTTTCTCTCTCTGTCTCACACACATGCACTCTAGTTTTTGTGGAGAAATTCAGCATAATTATAATAAATTCTGGTCCAGAGCTCAAGTGTCTGGAGTTCCCAATGTCCATCTGGTTTTATTCATTCCACAAGATTGAAGATGGTATGGTTAGGCTTTTTTTGATCAGATTGGGAATTCACTGGTTTGGTTACACAACTTTTTTATTTACCAAGAACTTAATGAGCTTATTAGTGCTGGTTTCCTATTTGAAACTGGATTTCACCCATCATGATGCAAGGATCTATGACATACATTTTTGGGTTCATTTTATTTATCTTATGGTTTCTAAGCCTGTATCTCTTTAGGGTGCCTTTTGAGTCACAGTTTCAAGGTTTTCTGCACTACTATGCAAACTAAACATTTTTTAATGATAGTTGTGGTTCTCATCTAATCACATAAAACTAAGAGCTGATGCTTTATGAAAAACACCTCATATTGCTAGAGTCACAAAATTACAAGAGTTGGTAACAGTATGATCTTCTCGTGAAAGTCATGCACTTTCCTGGACATCCACTGAAGTCAATTGGGAATGTTGGTATTTATTTCAAAAGGAGGTGGATCAGACTCTAGCAACTGACAATGAGATCAAATTCATCTTATTGAGGTGATTACAGCCTTTGTAGTAACATTTAATCATGCATAATTGTTTTTATAAATCTGTGTAAACTGAGATCAACCACTGAAATACGATTTCAAAGAAACATAGAAATAAAAATGATAGTTTAAATTGTAAAGGCTTTCATGACAGGAAAAACAACAAGGAAGAACTAAGGCTGCTGAAGATGCAAATAACTTCTCTATTACTTGGCACAAGTGAAAAAAACGATTACACAATGAAGTATGTAACTGTAAATCATAATAACAAAATCCTTTGAGGAAATATAATTGGTTTTACTAATAGCACAAGGTTCTCAAAGGATTACTTTGGATTTTAGATGGTTCTTTCTTGATGAGCTAATTTACAGGATAACAGGAAGTATACTATTACACATTTCAATACATGCTTGATAATTATTTAAAGGATATATGTTATTAAGAACATTTATTTTGGTTAGTACCAGCTGGCATTTTTCAATTATTGGTTAACTTGGTTTATAATGCAGTACAAGGAAATGATTCTGAACTATGTAAACTATGCATGACTGATTGGCAAGGCTTGATCTTTTATTTTTGTTCATATTATGGTTTTGGGCTGTTTTGGTTTTGTTTACATTTTTGCCTTTGACTATTCCAGTTTCCTTTTCTTCTTAATATTAGGGAGATATCTACATCATTGCATAGGGCAGGGCCAGTGGAGGTAGGGCGGCGTTTCCATCTGTTATTTTGGAGGCAGAGAGATCTTTGAGCCTATCTCACACCCAAGTGGGGAGTATTTACCTGATCCCTTAAGAGAGACTTTATTCAGAATGTATCATAGCCTTGAAAAAAGGGTGGACAAAAGAATATAGACCCTCATACCAAAACAGGCCAGAACACACCAGGAATGAAGAAGGGTGTTCTTTGTCAGGATCCCTTGCCAGTAGAATGTCTTAGTTAGAAATCAGAACAAGCCCATGTCTGGCAACCTCCAGGTTAAAGAGTCATCTTTTTTAGTAGGCGTCTTCTAAACAGCCAATGTGTGAAATGTTTTAGGCATACGTTTGTAAAAATTACCAATTTTAACTCATCCCATGCTGACCATGGCTTGCTTGATGGATCTTTGGACAACGAAGCTAAAATGAGGAATTTGCTTCTACTATCCTAGTGAAATATAGCATGTCTGCTCTTGATCTGTGATGTGTACAATTTTTTTCCCTTAAGGCAGTGGTTCCCAAACTTTTCGGCATCACACCCCCCTTTTCGATTTTTGACAAACCCTCACACCTCCCTCCCAAAAAAATAGCAGCAAAATTTGGAGTGGGATTGACGGGGTGTGTGTGTGGCTGGGTTGCCTCATGCCCCCCCTGGAATTTCTTGACATCCCTCCCCCCCAGAATTTCTTCACGCCCCCCAGTTTGGGAACCCATGCCCTAAGGTATACTTTAAGGGTGAAATCCTGGCTTCATTGAGGTTAATAGTAATTTGCTGAACTTAACCAAGAATCAACCTTGGTTCCTACTGGGTGTCTGAAGAAAAGCCCCTCATGATTTATTTGTACCTGCATCACAAATCTGTCCTCTATTTCAAGTCATTACACTGAGAACTGAATGACTGATTTGGCCAGAGTTCTAGATTTACTCTCTACCCTTTCCAGACTATCTCCAGCTACTAAAGACTGCTAACTGCCTGCTGGAGAGGCTAAAATCTTAACTCCATGGAGTGCTGTGTCTCCAACCTTCCTTTGTTTCCTCATAGCTAGCAGCAGTCTGGCTTTTTACCAGTCCTTGAACCCTGCAAAGTTCTAATTTAAAAAAGTATATTATATATATATATATAAAGAAATATTAAAATAATCAGAACTTAGGAAAACTGAATGAGTAAGGTTGGGAGGATCATAAATATTACGTTTCTCTTCCAAATTTATTTTGATCTTAAAAACAGCATATTTCTTTTAGGGTCATTGCATGCTAAAGTTTCAGGTTTAAGGTGAAAATTTCTAAGAGATACAAACCAGAGATTAGGAACACAATCAATTTGTGGTACTCAGAAAGATTTTTGGTAAGGGCCAAGCAGCTTGTTTATGGTTCCAACCAGTATTCCCTTCTCTCAAAAATCTCTTTATTGTAGTCTAGTAACATTTTGCTCTAGCTTTAAACAGCATTTGTATTAAAGAAACCATTAATGGTAATTGCTTAACCTTAACTTACTGCTGAGAATGTACTTTGCCGTTAGAAGGCCTTGTAAAGATTTTTGCATTTCCAAAGTTTTCAGCATTCTGCCATTTAAAAGATTAACCAAGAGTCTGATCGTGCTCCTATGAAGGTGAATGGAAGAGTTGTGGACTTCGACAGAAGTAGGATCAGATCCCATTTTACTAAATGAATGCTGTTTGATATTTTGTTATATTACAATACACTGACTTAAAAATAGCTGGATAGAGTGTATTCTTGCTAATGCAAGATAACAGGCTCAGAGAGCTGGATCTTCTCTATGATTACCAAGGGGACAGACGTGGAACAGGTCCTAAGTATGAATCACTTAACACTATCTGCCAGATAACATTAAAATGCTACAGAAGTGTCCAGAGGGATTTCCTTAATAATCTGCTCTATCAGCTCACATTACAATAGAGTCTCATTTTAGTTACTCTATTTTACCACTTCATTTACAGAATATGAGTTCTTTAAACAACGAATATTTTCAAAGACCTCTGCCCTATCTATGTATGTTACAATTTTCTAATTTGGCACTTTGATGCTGCTTTCAGCTAAGTCAATTAATCCTCCAACTATTCGCTTTCATTCCTGTTGCTGGTTTCAGCGTAAGCAAAGTGCAAACATGTTCTGTTAAACTGATTGTAAATGCTTTAGGGGGAGAAGACTGTCTTTATTTGTGTTTTGTACCATGTCATACTTTTTCTGTGTTTAACAAATAATACATAATTTGCATTACCTCCAAGTCTTGCCCTGACAGAAACATCTGACACTGCCTTGGAGTTCCAACGTCTGTCCTGACTCACCTCCTCCAACAGGGCCACCTGTCTTCTGTGTACAGTTTGTGCAGTCTTTTCTGGGACGGGGACCCGCTGGTGAGGTTTCACATCACTGTAATCCACCAAGGACTCAATGGCTCTGCCACAGTAGGGCTGCAAATCAGCATCAGCTCCTGAGCTCATGAATCCTGAACAGGGGTCAGCTAAAGGCACATCATCTCGGTGTGGGAATAAAGGGTAATCTGGCCCCACAGGAGGGCTATAAGGATTGAATTTAAGAAAAGAATTACTGTCTTTTTCTTGGAAGCTGGCAAAATCATGTTTATCCTCAGGTCCTCTCACAAAAGGCATGTACATTTTCTTTAACAGATTTTTATACTGATGGCGATCCATTTTGTGAAGTGGGTTACCTGACCGACTGTAGCTTTTAAAGGCATTTACCTGCCTTTCAGCTACAGGGGAAACCATGGCCATTTTCTTTATTGTTTTAGATGCCAGTAAATTAAGAAGATTCTGCTCTCTTCTGTTTCTTGGACTTTATGAAATCCTGTCCAACAAATCACAGTGAAACTACAAATCATCCTCCAAAAGATTACTGCACAGAAACTATAAAAGCCAACACAGGAGTTCAAATGGTGAATTTTTCCCTGAAAAGCAGTGAGTGATCCAGAAAGGAAAAGAATGAAGCAGTCATATGAGCAAAGAGTCTTTTGGTTGCTCGGCAACTGGTGAAACACTAGCAAACAATGTTTGTTTCAACTAGCAAACAATGACACTTGTAATTCCGTGTATATCATAATAATCTGAGCTCTTGGAGAAACACAGTTAATATCTTTAAATGAGAGTATAGTATAACTATTTACACACATAAATTGTTTTTAATTTTCCCAAGATTTAGTATTTCTGTACAAGTACATTTTTAAACTACAAAACTGACATCAGATAAGAAATGTGAACAGAATAGAGACAGATTTTACCAATGGAAGAGTTATTAACCATATACAAAAGAAAAGTATTATTAAGAGTAAATAAATAATATTGACTGTTGGCATGTAACATTATCTACAAAATATTGCTTATTTTTTGCTCTAGAGCAGGGGTGGGCAATATTTTCTGAGCAGGGACCACTTCAGAAATTTTTGAAGTGTCCCCAGGCTACCCCAGAAGGGGTAAGGCCTTCACATGCTCCCCCTTCCCTCCATCTCCAAGACCTGATTGGCCTGGAGGAGGGGGTAGGAGGGAGAAGGGGCAAAGTCTCTTTGTGCGGTGCTCTTAGAAGCACCACACACTCCTGGCAGAGTGGGAGGAGACTTTGTGCACTCCCCTCACCCCCAATCCTTGATTGGCTTGGAGGCGAGTGGGGGCAGCGCGTGAAGTCTCCTCCTACCTTGTCCCTGTTCTACAAGTAGCATCCTGCCACCCTACCAGGAGCATGCAGTGCTTCTAAGCACCGTGCAATTCTTGCAGAGCGGGAGGAGACTTCACACACTCTTCCCGCCCCCAGGCCCTAATTAGCCTGGGAACAGGGGAAGTGGCAAGGCCTCCAAGGGCCGGATCAACTCTTTTCCCCGCCCTTGCTCTAGTTTCATCAGTTGTTTTTACTGTAACTTAGACATGATGGTAATGGTTCATTACAAGTTAAAGCCAAAAGTTTGCAAAGCGGTTTTCCTAATTTTAGCTTGGAAAGCTGTATTTAAGGCTCTAAAAAGTACCTAACACCCACCACCTCCCACTGATTTAAATGAAAGTGTTCAGTATTTCCAAAAATCAAGCCATTTTTAATTGGGTGCCTTAAAAGGGGCTCACACTTTGGGCACTCAACTTTGAAAATGCTGACTTAAAACTTGAGCTTATGATTGTGTTAGGAGAAACTGTAAGGGTGCGTCTAGACTACAGGGTTTTGTCGACAGAAGTTTTGTCGACAGATACTGTCGACAAAGCTTCTGTCGACAAAGAGCGTCTAGACTACATTCAGTTCTGTCGACAAAGCAAGCTGCTTTGTCGACAAAACCCTGTAGTCTAGACACAACCCTACATGCAATAACACCTTCTGTCGACAGAACTCTGTCGAGAGAAGGTGTTATGCCTCGTAAAATGAGGTTTACCAGCGTCGACAAAACTGCTGAGTTCTGTCGACATTATGTCGACAGAACTCAGCAGTAGTGTAGACGCAGGTATAGTTTTGTCGACAAAAGTCCGCTTTTGTCGACAAAACTCTGTAGTCTAGACACACCCTTAGTGTGTGATTAAAGGAGGTCTGAACGTGCTCTCAGGTACACTGGCTGTACAGAGCTGCAAATAGAACTTAATAAACAATTCTGCTGATGATTCATAAAATGGAACAGAATTCACAGCTCACTCCATCTTTGTTACCTTGACTCTGTAAAGAATGAAAAGCAATTGTACCATTGGTCTTTAGACACAAAAGTATTGCTCTATTTCCCAGACAATAAACATGCAGTAGAGCCCTGCACGGCTATAAAATTTGAATCTGGATGTGATCCTCAATCGGCGGAAAATGATCCTCGGATATGAAGCAGGGCTATATAAACCTGCTAAAACGGATGATGCCATTTCTTTCACCACTTGGAATCTGCCCACATTGGCCCCATGCCAGGACAACTGGTTTTCCCCCTCAGCTGTCCTATGAAGGGCTCCTCTTGCTTTGACCCCTTGTTGATTTACACAGGGAGGCACCAACCTCCCACAGCCCCATAGGCAGCCATGCTTGTAGGTGTGTTCTCCTGCAAAGATGAGGCGCAAGCCATTTCCCCCTCCCTGCGCTGGCACCACCTGCCTAGGAAGGGCGGGGCAGGGAGAGCAGGTCCAGCAGGGGAGCGCAAATGGGCAACGGGGGAAGTCAGCGCGGTCGGGGAACCACGCCACTGTCCCCCCCCCCCCACTTTGTCCTGGAGGGTCACATAAAAGAGCCGCCTCCCCGGTTCCGCTATCCAGGCCTGGAGAGTCAGCTCTGTCGCCTTCGCGCCTGGCACGCGCTGGCAGCGCCTCGCCCGCTCGGTGACGCTGCCTCCTCCCCCGTCACCTCCCCCCTCCCGTTCGAGCACCCGCGTGACGTCGCCACCGAGGTTCGACGCTGGCCAACGAACTTTTAGGCCGCCGCGCGCGAGCGGCTCAGGAGCGAGCGGTGCGAGGCGCTGGGGCTTTAGGGATGGCGGAGTCGCCCCCCGGGGCTGCCCGCCGGCGGGGCCGGGGTAGGAGGCGGCGGGCGGGGGTGTCTCCCTCCTCCGCCTTCTGCCTCCCGGCGCTCGGCGTCACCCTCCTCAGGGACCCCCCGCAGGTACCTTCCCGCCCCGCCCGCATTGGGGCTGCCGGGGGGCGCGGGGCGGGGCGAGAGGGGCGATAGTCTCTGTCCTGAATGAGTCTCGGTCGTGGTGCATGGGCGGTGGCTGCTGCAAAAACACGTGTGCGCCTCAGTAACCGTGACACGTCCAGGTAGACTAGCTCAGTGACCTCAGGGACTCTCAATATTGCACGATAGGAACCCAATATGGATGCTAAGGGCCTATGAAAAATACCCCATGGGGGCTTGTGTGTAGAGCTGCAGCTCTCTCGGGATTTACACTCCTGGAGGTAGGGGGAGGAACAGATGGTCTAGGGCAGGGCTACTCAACTTTGGGGGGTAGGGGACGACACAATGATATAGCACATGCTAAGGGCTGCAACTTGAAGTGTGGTTGCATGTACATGCCAATACATATGCAAATAGCTTCTCTCACACTGACTTCTTTGCATGACTACAAAGATTAAGGCAAGACTACAGAAAACACAGGTCCCATTTAAGTCAGTTCTGCTGTTAATAATAAAATGCAGTATTTACCTAATGTCTACCCATATGAAAACAGCACTTTTAATGAGCAATGACAGTCCAGGAATTTAACTACTAAAGCACATATCAACAGATCATTATATTGACTACTTTTTTGTTTTAGCTCCCACCTGTGGGCTGCAAACAAATAGGCCATGGTCTGCATGTTGAGTAGCGCTAGTGCAGGGGCATGGAGTGGGACTGCACTGATAGTAACTGCACTCAGCCAAACTGGTTCTCAGCTAAAAGAGTCACATCTTACTCCTTACTGCCAGTTCTGGATGGACAGTGTTCGGGATTTCTGGAGCTGAATGTTCCAGGAGCAATGGTGCTGATCTCTTAGCATCCACAGAGTGCAAATACAGTTCTCTAGTCAGTTACTGGAAAGAAATTGCTAAATCCTAAACTAGAGGAACTCTGTGTGATCTTGACATCTTGTCTGTTTCATCAATAGAAGTTGGTCCAAAGTCAAAGTCTCACAATATGGGAGCTGGGATTCCCAATTCCCTACTTATTGATTATTTGAGTTCTAAACTTACAGAAGCATTTTTTCCTGAACTTATTTCCTATTTAAAAAAGAGAGAAACTACTCTTTTAAATCTGTTTAATCTATTTATAATTATCTTCCCCATTCTGTTGTGCAATTTATGAACGTGTTTCCTAAATCAGGATAGCGATACAGAGGCAGCAGCAAAGGGTGACAGGCAGCCGGTCTGCGAGGGGAGCTGCTTTTTAAACTGATTCCCCTCACGGACCAGCTCCCGCCTAGGACCCCGTGCTGCTGCCTCTGATACAGAAGCAGCAGTGCAAAATGGAAGGGAGCTCCTTGGGAGTGGGGCTGGAGCACACTGGCTGCTGGCTCCACCCCCTGGGACTATAGAAGAGTCAAGTAACTCATAAGAATTCATGAGGTTAATCGACTATTTAATTAACCAATATTTAACATCCCTACTTCAGAGCTCTCAGTTCCATTTCTCAGGAATGGCTAAAACTTAAAAGCTTCTGTATTGCCTCTAAAGTTCAGCAGCTGGATTAGGTTGGGGATGCTCAAAGATTGCTTAAAAAAGGGCAATTTTAAAATTACTTCCATGACTTTTTCACAGTGAGCTTTATTGTCCTTTGTTCAATGGTTGATGGCACTCTTTATACTTTTGTTTGTCACTTTCTGAGACAAAAGTGAACTTGAACTGTTCAACCTATCTAATTTTAATTAATCCAATAGAAAGTGAGAGTCAGTATAGACAGGTATGCTGACAGCAGAAGGAGTTGGAGGGGAGGGGAGAAGAGGCAAAGGGGGCAGTTTCCCTGGGGCCCAGAGATTTCAAAAAGACCTGGGGCTCCAGCTGCTATGGCTGCTACCACTAAAGTAGCATTGGCCAAGGCCCAGGACCCTTTATATTGCTCCTGGAGCACAGCGCAGTGTGTGATGATGTATCCATCCTCCCATGCTTTATGGAATGAACTTATGGACATGAATATACTTAACTCAAAGGTGCTTTGAGCAAATTATTAAATGTAACTTATCAATCTTCATGTCTCGATCATCTGGTTCTGTTTATCTTACTTTGATGTATTAGGGATGTTAAATAGAAATTTATTTACTGGTCAAATAGTTGGTGGAATTTCCATCGACTACTTGACTAGCTGTTAAGGAAGGGTGCTTAAAGCGCTTATGCTGGGTCTCAGCACAACTCCTGGCTGCCGCTCTGCTCTCTTATAGGGACAAAAAGGAGCCAGCACGCAAAGATGCTGCTTCAGTCTGTGGTCCCTACTGGGTCTCAGGACAGCCCCCATGCTGCCACTCTGCATTTTTAAAGGGACACAGCAGTGGCATCTGGCCCCACTTGTGTGTCTCAGCAGAAGCACATCCACCCCGTTGCCACTCTGTATTTTTAAAGGAACAGAGCAGCAGCAGCTGGTCCGCTTGTCAGTCTCCGCACAAGCTGACCCCCATACCTGACATTGCCACTCTGAATTATTAGGGATAGGTGAGCTGCTGCTGTGTCCCTTTAAAAATGCAGAGTGGCAGCATGGGGGCTGTTCTGAGACCCCGGTAGGAGACCAGAGATTGAGCCAGCATCTTTGCGTGCCAGTTCCTCTTTGTTCCTTTAAGAGTGCAGAGTGGTGGGAGAGGGGAGTGATTGAGTAATCAATAGTGCTACCAGATAAGCTCCTGCTTATGGGACAGTAGACTACTCCTTCACATCCCTATGATGTATGTATCATTTTTGTGTGTAAAATTAGACATATGGAGTGAGGAATATTTTGTGGGTTTTAAATGTGTAAATGAGAGGTGTTACCCTCAATGCCTTCATGAACAATTGTTAAACAATCTCTTTTGTCTTTAAGTCTGTGTTGTAGTTGGTAGGGAGTGGCCCTAATTCTGTAAAAAAGAATATGAAAGCAGGGGGCTGGGCTGCACCTGAAGAAAGGAGCCAAAGACCCCAGGGTGGGGAGATAGCCCTGGTTGGAGGGACAGCTGGAAAAGAGGTTTTAGGGTGAGTTTGAAAAAGTTTGTACTGAGGCTTTAGTGTTAGAATTAGCTAAGCATTTTTTTATTACTTTTGATTTGTAATCTACTTTGTTCTGCCTGTTCTCACTTATTAACACTTAAATCCTACTTTTTATACTTAATAAAATCACTTTTATTTTCTATCAAACCCAGTGTAAACAATTATTACCTGGGGAAGCAATCATTGTGCACATCCCTCTTTTCATGTTAAAGGTGGCTTACCTAATTCTTTGGGGTCTGATCCCATTTGGGGAGTGGTATCCCAGAAGCTGACCTCCTCACTGACCAGTGGGCCTACCCTGTCCTTGGTCTTCCTCTTGCTTCTAATGTATTTATAAAAAGTCTTTCTTATTTCCCTTCATTCCTGTAGCTTGTTTGAGCTCATTTTGTGCCTTTGCCTTTCTAATCTTGTCCCTGTATTCCTGTGTTTTTTATCTATATTCATCCTTTGTAATTTGTCCTAGTTTCCATTTTTTATAGGACTCCTTTTTTATTTTTAGATCATGCAAGATGTCGTGGTTAAACCAAGGCAGTCTTTTGCCATATTTTCTATCTTTCCGACGCATTGGAATTGCTTGCTTTTGGGCCCTTAACAATGTCCCTTTGAAAAACTGCCAACTCTCCTCAGTTTTTCCCCTCAGTCTTAATTCCCATGAGAGTTTACCTATCAGCTCTCTGAGCTTACCAAAATCCGCCTTCCTGAAGTCCATTGTCTCTATTTTGCTGTTCTCTCTTCTACCTTCCCTTAGAATTGTGAACTATATGATTTCATGATCACTTTCACCCAAGCTGCCTTCCACATTCAAATTCTCAACCAGTTCCTTCCTATTCGTTAGGATCAAATCTAGAACAGCTATCTCCCCTGGTAGCTTTTTCAACCTTCTAAAATAAAAAGTTGTCTCCAGTGCAGTCCAAGAACTAGTCTGAGCTCCGCTGTGTTATTTTTCCAACATATATATTGATAGTTGAAGTCCCCCATCACCACCAAATGATAGTTGAAGTCCCCCATTGCCACCAATTAATTATTGGGCTTTGGATGATATTGTTAGTTGTTTTAAAAAAAGCCTCATCCACTTCTTCCACCTGGATAAGTGGCCTGTAGTAGACTCCTAGCACGACATCACCCTTGTTTTTAATTCCTTTTAGCCTAACCCAGAGACTCTCAACACTTCTGTCTCCTATGTCCATCTCCAGTTCATTCCAAGTGTGTTCATTTTTAATATGTAAGGCAACACCACCTCCGTTTTTCCCTGTCTATCCTTCCTGAGCAAGCTGTACCCTTCTATACAAACATTCCAATCGTGTATTAGCCCACCAAGTTTGTGATGCCAACAATGTCATTATTTATTAGCACTTCCAGTTCTTCCTGCTTATTACCCATACTTCTCACATTTGTATATAGGCATCTAAGATACTGATTTGACTTTGCCTCCTAGTTTTGCCCTGACCCTCCTGTCTCTGCCATTATAGCCCACGCTCCCTCCCATTTCCGACCCATCTCCCAGGTCTCCATGTTCTTCACTTACCTGTGGGCTTTGCTCACCTGCCCCCGTTGAACCTAGTTTAAAGCCCTCCTCACTAGGTTAGCCAGTCTGTGTCCAAATAGGGTCTTCCCCCTCCTCGAAAGGTGAACGCCATCTCTGCCCAGCAGTCCTTCCTGGAATAGCATCCCATGGTCAAGGAAGCCAAAGCCCTCCTAGCGACATAAAAATATGTAAGTTTTATAAAAAACAAAGAAAATAAATGTTATGTAACCTAAATATGAATTTCATCACCATATTTCAATCAATGTAAAATCCACTGTTCTAGCAAACGAGTGCATGTAAAATCCACTGTTATAGCAAACGAGTAACTCGTTGCTTTAATTAATAAAAGGTAAAAGTTTCTGAGCATATCAAATTTATTGTAAACAATCTATAATGCTTCTAACTTCCTAGTTATTTGCCTAGTTAATGTAGTTTTTCATGCTATCGCACAGTGATAAACTACATTATAGTTATGAATGTAAGAGATTAACTTACCTGTTGAAACAGGGGTGGGCAATAATTTTTTGTTGGGGGCCACTTAAAAAATTTCTGAAGTGGCCCTGGGGCACTGAAGTGGCACTGGAGGGGG